GGTTTCTTTATCACTTGTCTATTTACAATCTAAACACACAAGCGATTATGTAAACAAAAATAACTAACATACGCAATGCACACAACAATTAAAATAACAACAACGCACGAACTGGTCCCCTTTTTATTTTTTTTCATTTTTATTTTAAATAAAATAAACATAAAAACTGTAACAAGAAATAAATGTCAATTTTCAAGTTCACGGTGAAGGCTGTTTACTAACACGCATAAGAGTTGCAGATGAATAAGAAAAAAAAAAAGAGAAAAATCCAATAACAACAACAACAACGACAAATATAATAACACCAACAATTTGTCGTAAAAATGATTTAAGCATATAGAGACCGGTAGACAACTAATCTTTCGCGATGTATAACAAATAAGCCTACATGTCTACGTATGTATCTATTTATGTATTAATGTATGTATGTGCGTTGCAGTTTAGTGAAAAAAAAAGACAATTTGTACAAAAAACAAGTCGATAAATAACTTGAATTTTTCTATACATATATATATATATATATATAGTAAATGTGTGCGCAATAAGTGTTTCTTGTTAAACGTGTGCCTATGTGTACTGCGTGTACACAATACGACATCATAGATATACGTTTAGGATTATTGTTCGTTTATATCGTTTCTTGATTTTATTGAATTGAAAGAAAGATATCGAAATCTTGAAATGTGTCTGTTGAAGGCAGACCAAAGCGACCAAAACCAGCCAGCCACTGCCATCGCTGATAGCCGCAAGCACACCAAGCCAAGACAAGTGCGTGCCCATAAAGTCGTATCGTTGCACTAATGTCTATGGTATGCGTGACACGCAACACTAACATATTTACTTATATTTATTGTTTGTTTATATTTGAACGCAAGACTTGGGTATGTTGAAAATTTGAAGCTGTTCTCATAAAGTCTATTGCATTCGGACGGAACGTGTGTTGTTTTTTTTTTTCTATAGTCGAATGAATGAAATATAAAAGACTTTTATATTTATTAACCAAGAATGAAAATTTCCTACCAAAAGTGTGAGTCAGAAATATTTTAACATTTATTTCCCTTTGATTGGAAGCAGATTTTTTAATATCCGAACTAACTTTTCTGTGAGAAAATTTACAATCGAAAATCGAAGTAAGATTAAGTACGGAAATGGGTGGAAGACTTGAGCAAGACAAACTAGGAAGACGCGAAAGCATAATAAAAAAGTAACATCCGTAATATCTTGCTGTTTGCAATCCACATTTGCTTAAACATTTGCTTAAGCCACATCATTGCGAAATCACTGAGGATTGATTCGATTGTGTTTGTAGCTAGGTTTCTTGCTTGGGAGTTTTTCAGTGGCTTGTTGCAAAATAAAATACTTGAGGAAAAGGATGCTTCTAAGGTACTCAAATGTGAAGCCGCAGAATTTTTAAAACAATACACAGTGTTCTAGGATGAAACTGAGGCATGCTTGAAAATGCATATAAGGTAAGCACATGAGTATGGTAGGAAGATGGAGCTAAGATGGTGAAAGGAAACCCGTGGAGATTTAAAGTAAGTTTTATGTTGGATTTGAGGATTTAAGAAATGAAATTATGATGTCTAAGAAGACTGAGACATTGCTCCGATTTAGGATAACAACGTGGTGTGTTATTTTGTCAATTTGTTTTCTTCTCTTTAAGGTAAGTGAGCAGTGTTTTAAATTCGCATTGACGCGGTTAAGGTTGAAATTATGAAATTTAAGCTTTAAGCGGAGTCACTAAAAGGTGGGCGCGTGCTTCTCGAGCGGAAAAACGCTGAAGTATGAAGTGTAAGGGCTTGAGGATAAAGTTGCAGGACTTTAGGATAAGTAGGTAGTGTTTTAGAGAAAGTTTAGATCTTTAGATCCAGGAAAACAAAGTTCAGTTACTGAACATGAATTTGAGATGAGTTTTAACGTAAAGGTCCGACGTTTATGGGATCAGTTGTTCTTCTTTAAGAGTCAAACTATGGTGCTCGCGGGCATCTATATGCATGTAGGGTTTGAAAACAAAGTTGTTAAGGGTGAAGCTGCGATGATTGACGATGAAACTGAATGAAATGTTGAAGGTATTGAATCCGGATGATTAGCTTGAGAATAGAGCGGATACTTTTAAAGAAAAACTTGTGTGTGACATGTTTAAATACAAAGATAACCATTGCACTTTAACTTTGCATAATTAAAAAATAAATTGCACTACGTATGTGATTTCAAATTTAAATCGAAAAATTAAACACGATTTCAGTAATTTTAACAAGCACTTTTTTTTTCTTAATTAATTGGTTTTCTTCTGACTTTTGTGGGAATTTATTATTCTAACGATTAATTGCCTTTAGAAATTTATATAAATTGTTTCAACGAAACGAAAACGAAAAAAAACTGTAACACTCTGCCCGGTAGCTAGTGACTAACGTACAAGTTTAATGATGTGTCAAAACTTATCTAAATCTTTACATTTAATAATATCTTTTTTCTTCACCTCTATAAACTTACAACTCGGTGTTGCAGTTGATTTTGTAGATTTGAACGCTTCATAAGTTTAAGCATCCAACGTTCAACAAGCGCTAAAATTCAACTGGCAAACTAACCATGTGCGTAAGATTTTTGAAAATCTACTGGTTTTAGTATAACACGTACTGGCGTTATATTTATTATGTGCTTGCGAATATGTGCAAATAAATGTTATGAATTTTTTTTTTATTTTTGCATTAGCATTTTGCATAGATTATTAATTGCCTGACTTTTTATAACTTAATCGTTAGATTGTTGTGAGCTGAGTTTTATTTTTATATGTTTTCATTTATTTATTTATTTAGCTTTTTTTTTTTTGTCGTTTTTGCTTTAGTTTATGAATTTATTATTCACGGTTTGAGCGTCTGTCCGTTTCATTCAAGCATACATTTTCTGCACATTTGTGTGAAAATTTAAATTAACATTCAGTTTATTACTGCGCGAACAATGATAATTTGCTTTTAGGAAATATTTATATGCATTTCGATTTTCTCTAATCTTATTATTATTGTAAATAAAATTAATGGATGCGGGCGGTAACATTGTTGTTGCTTTTTTTTTTTATATGACTAAACATTCAGGGGTTATGTTCGTTATTCGTGTAACACGGAGACGATCAGCGAGAGAGTGATGAGTGAAAAAAAAATAGTCGATTGGGTGACTGCAGCATAGTGTACAAAAGCAAAGTGCTCACTATATCTACAACCAAACTAAATTCTAATACACTTGCACACTGATTTGGCGATTCTTACTTACTCAACTACTCGTGTCTACGTAACATTCCAAAAGGACCAAATGTTAGGTTATAAATTGTTTGTCTGTCTGTCTGTCCGCGCACATGCTTCGGCAGGGACACTCTCAACCCTTTAAAACATTTGCCAGGGTATCGATAAGAATAATCAAGGATGTCGGTATTAAACAGACCGAAGATGATTGATTCCTCAGCTATTCTAACCAATTTGAGAATGAGTTTTTAAAAATAATTTTAAATCAGATAAAATAAAATAAGGCGATAAACCGTGTATTTACAAAACACTTATATGTGCTCCGCTTGCCAACTACACCGCACTCTACATTACTTCCACCGTTCGCATCACAATTCCTGGGTTCGTACCCATTACACTGACAGCTCTAAGATGAGAGAAAAGTTGGTCTTCCCCTCTAATATTAGCTAACATTAGATACAAATAGCATAACGAAAATTTTCAAAATATCGGCAGCGGCTTAAAAAAGTTCTTATAAAATTTTTTGCTTTTTTTCTAATTCTTGCTATAGGATGCTCTCTACTTAGCTAGCAAATGCTTAAGAAATCCATAAATAAACTAAAATATAACTTGTGTAGTGCGTACATCTTTGATTTCAAATTTATTTAAAAATCTATCTAGCATAACGGTTCTGCTGGCACTACAAAAACGAAACCCATAGATTAATAATTTATCCAGTGTAAAATACAAGAAAAGCAATAAAATAAAAAGTGCAAAAGCTTCCTACGCTTTGTATAAAATCTTCCTCACGCACACAACGACTGTAGGAAATTCTTCAAATTTTTGGTTGATATAAGCGTCTCAAAGGTGGAGGATCGTAATCCCTTTTTGCACCAAACTTTTATTTTTAGTTTTTATTTTCTATTTGGTCCTTTTTTCGTTTGGTATCTTTGGGAATTTCCAACAATTGTAAAAATGTTTGCGTTGGGCATACCTTTTGCCAATATCTACATAATTTTTGGGCATTCTTTGTGAGTTTGACAGCATCTACAGTAAATAACATGATTGAAATTCCAAAAAGAAGAGATCAAAAGGGGCAGCTAGCTGGACGAGAGGGCAAAATTGGCTTAAAGTCTTACATTGACCAAGAATATGTATCTACGCAATATTTATACCATGGACGAACGGACAGGCTGCCAAAATAGTGAACAAATGAACATATGCTTCATTGACTTGATATTTTACATTGATTAGCGCGATATGAGCCTAAAATTATAGAGTTCCAAATCTTCATTTTTGTGCATAGACTAAGAGACGGACGACTAGGCATAGTGACTTGTCTTGGTCTCGTTTACACCAGCTTAATATTGTATATCTCCTAAGCTTATTCTCAGGTTATTACAAACCACAGACACACACATACACACACACGCAAAGCAGAAACCTATCAAAATACCATCTTTCCTTCTTTTTTTGGCGGTGGGAGCAATAACAACAAAGAAAAAATATAATTTAAAAAAAAAAAACTTACGTCAAAGAAGTCTCGAGCAGATGCGCATGATTATATGAATATTACTCATGCATTACGCTTGCAAAACAAAAGACTTAGACAACAAACTTGATTTAATAAGGTTGTTACAAAAATGACATATCTACTACAGTTAGCAATAAAAAGTATTACAAAAAACTTTAAACTGAATTATAATTTAACAAAAAAAAAAAATAATAGATGAATAAATAAATAAAAGCAAATAACTTTGATTCAATTCCAAACGAAAAACTTACCAATTTCATGGCGAAGCGTGTATGGATTGTGCGATAATTATTTGGGTATAAATCTAATAAAACAAAAAAAAAAAAAAACTTGATTTAATATGCAATAAACACAATTAGCACTTTTTGAACGAAAAAAAATTTATGGGTTTATATAAACAATATATATATATATATATATATATATATATATATATGTATAT